AGATTTTGAAAATGTTAATGTAATTTGTAAAAAGTATACTCTGAAGTTGCACTAACAATAAAATCAGCTCAAAATATGGTAGGGGATTTTCCCCAGTGTTTTCTAGAGACTTGCTACACCGGTTTACATTTTTATAACCCTCGAAATTTTGGTATATCGATATAGACTACACACATTCTACAAACATGACATAACTTTCATGGCATAAACTTATAGGCCTACTTACACAGATTTGATTTCAGACAAATCTTGATTTTACCCAAGGGTAGAAGTATTAGACATGTATAGTTCAAAACTACAGATTTCCTGAATACGAAGATCCGTTACGGTAGGAAAAAACAACATTTAAAATTAAAACAGTATGCGGGCAATCACCGGCGATCAATATTTAAGTAAACTACCACTTGTAACATAAAAAACGTCAATGACAGTTTGAAACCAGCTGTTAGTTAAAACAGCACTGAAACGACTTTAAATTATTAGCGTCGGCTGCTAGACAAAAAAAATTAAACTTAAAAAAATGAAATCATGGCATTGACATTCCCTTTCTTAGAAAATTATATTTATTTCAACACAAAAATCACGAAATCGCGAAAGTGGTTGATTCAGAATCCTGAAATGAAAAAAAACTCTGTCACGTTTAAAAATATAATATATCACAATTAATTGCACACTCTAGTGGAAATCGATGAAACCCACCCATATGAATTCTTGCTTATCCGTTTACTTTTCCACTCTTTGCGTTTTTGTACATGCCAAGTCAAGTCTTAAAACATTACATTTAAAACAATTGTATTAAATCTTCCATAAATTACAAGAAACAGTGACTCATCCATTTTCCCCGATTCCGAATATTTGTGCGCAATCTTGGCGACTTATGTTCAGTCTCCAGCATTTTGGAGGTGTTCGCAATTCAGACACACCCGTTCCCATAGTCCGATTATGCTGGTTCACGAACTCGTTCTAATAAACTTAGGCTTACACGTTTGTAACATATCTCATCAAACTCGCAGCGTTATTGCCCGAGTTACCGCGCTCACGGTCACATATACAGGGTGTATTTATAAAGTCCCGCATAGGCTTAATATTTTCAAAACGGCAATAGATAAATCAATAAGATTTGGTACATAAACACCACACCTAAAAACAACGTTTTAAAGAATGTCAGTTTTCTGTCATATAATGGGGACATCCCGCAAGGAGTCAGAAGGAAATCTTAAATAAGAGCATAAGTTGATATTTACAGATAACCGTAGGCATATTCTACAACTTAGTAAAACGTTATTTTTTGTATTAAAGCCATTTTTCATTTAGGACAAAAATGATTTTTCTCTTTGCTTTCTTTATTTGTTGTGCTCTTGGTCTTTAATGTTTACCAGGTTTTTAATGATTTATTTGTTGCCAAAAACAATTTAAGAAAATATATTTAATTATTTACTTACATTATTTTTTACGTAGTTAAAATGACTAAATATTTGATTTGATAATTTGAAATATTATCTACATATTTTTCAACCTTTTCCCATATAAGAAGGTGTCCAAACACTACCAAATAGGTAAAGGTACTACAGTAGCAAAATGTGTATTTATAAAAAGAAATAAATACCCCCACCGCAGCAAACCTGCAGACTAAGCGAATTTCCATTTGACTGATTTGATTTACACTGAAATGTCTACTTAAAAATATAACATTTATTCCCAATTTAAATAGAATTAGTTTAACAAGTACTTAGGTTTGCTGCATCAGGGAGGGTAAAACTGTTTTTTGTTTTTTTTTTTAAATGTTAATAGTTAGTAAGAAATAAAAACGTTTTCCAAATTTGATCAAAATATGTTTATAAGCAAGCAAACTACAACAGGTTACTTATTCTCCATAAGAATAACATGGGAATTTTAAATTTACAATTTTTTTGAATTTTCTCCGTAACCATTAGGCGCATAATAACGCTTCAATATACTAAATTATTTGTTTTTTTAAGCTCTACAAAATGGTTTTGAACGAAATTGCTAAATTTTATGTTTTTTGGGTCAAAAATGGGAAGAACCTATTTTTACCCCCATAAAACCCCCCGTAAATCCCCGTTCCCATGGTCCGATCATGCTGGATCGCGAACTCGTTCGAATAAACGTAGGTTTACACGTTTGTACCAAATTTAAACAAAATCGGATCATTTTTGCTCGAGTTATCGTGCTAACGGACACACACACACACACACACACATATATATATATATATGTATTTGAACGGGTGGTGTTTTTGGCCTCTAGGGACCTCAAAACGAAAAAAAAATCGGTCCTGCGTCCAGGTCTTACCATGAGTACTACGGTAATAGCTTATTCCCTATATGGGAAATTCGCTAAAATAAGAATAAGAAACGAAACACTTAAATTTAAAGTGCGTAACACAAAAAAAATTATCTTTATGCTTTTTTCTTCTTTTTGTGCTCTTGATTTTGATTTTGATATATTTTATTGTTTTAAATTATATTGTAAATGAAGTTTGAACCGGTACTGTATAAATTCCTTGTGTATAACAAAGCTACACAGAATATTGAACTAATGTTATTTAAATAGGGAATAAATGTGAGTGATATTTTTACAGAGACATTTTAGCGTAAATCCAATCAGGCAAGTGGAAATTCGCTTAGTCTGCAGGTTTGCTGTGTCGGGGGTATTTTTAATTATAATTGGCACTTTATGATACATTAATTGGAGTATATACGAATGTTACTATCGTTTAAGCGATGTAATACAAGTTTACAGCTCAACATTTCAAATTTTGATACATATTAAAAATTTGAACTCACGTATATTTTCCCCTTAGTAATTATGAAACATAATTTTGCAAACTTCAGTAGCAAAAAGGTTTTCTAAACATATACATCTTATAACAAAACTAATTTATTGGTATATCAACACTGATTGCAAGTCCTCTTCTCGATTTAAAGTGATTCTGATATTTTGATTATACTTTCATTATATTTTGACTCTATTCCAGTGATATGAAACTAGCCTAGGCTGTATCTGAATAAAGGTACTTTTTGGCATAACCTTTAGAATAGTATCATTTACATATTTGTAATTACTAAAAATTAATTATTTCGATAAGTTTACGGGATTAATCCCCTAAAAGATATTATTATGTTTATTCTTATTTAATAATCTGTTTCTAATTTTCAAATTATTAATTAAATCGGGGCCAAACCTAAAGCAATGCGATTCATTTTTAATACATTTAGAAATTATTCTATTTTTAACAAATGTGTTGCTTAACAATTACCATAGGGTGTAAGGTAAGTTTACTGATGTTGATAAGTATAACTGCCATTTAATGCAACATAGAAAATGTATACTTTACGCATTATCGTTGGTTATGAATTAAGTATAAAAGAATAATTTTTTAAAGTCAATCTTTGCTCGCATTATTTAGTTGTCTTAGAAGTTCATACACATCTAAATCTACTGATTGATATTCCACCACAGCGTCTGCAATTTTCTTCTGTGGAAAAGCTGTTGTCCAAGCGACAATAATAATGAACGAGCGGCCGACCCTCAGAACAATGGACTGAGGAAGACGGGCAGCAGGTAGGCTGCCGAGCAGCCCAGCCCTACTAGGGGTAGCGTTTCAGGGGGGGACGATTCCGGGGTGTACATTTGCCGGGGAAGACCTTTCCGTTTCTACTTGTTTGAATTAAAATTAATAACATAATTAGTTCATATCAACTAGATTTTGATAAATTACTTGTCAAGCCCTTGGGGGGGGGGGGGGAACGATTCCGGTCGCGGACATAGATTTTATACCAGCTGGTTGTCTGGTTTCGTGACGTCACGTTTAGCCTGGGGGGTGATGTTTCCGGGGGCGACCATTCCGGCGACCCCGAGTTTCTACGCCCAGCCGTTCTCTCAAAATAGCTGTGACAAAGAAAAACAGTTTCAAATTAATATATAGATACCCATAACATGGGCAAATCGGGAATGATGTAGTTATGATGTGAGCTATCATCACCCCCAATTTGATTAAAATTGGATATTTTATTGATGTTATACCAAACAATTAATTACAACAATTAACAACAACAATTAACTAAATTAATTAATAATTCATTAATTAATTACAACAATTAATTACTATAAAGTACACTTAATTAGTAACCTTTTAGCAACAAACCTAGGTACTCGTTAAACCTAATGTTTTTAAGACTATGGAGACGGGGGTTTATGGGGTGAAAACTGGGTTTTCCTATTTTTGACCATGAAAACATAACATTTTGTAATTTCTTTCCAAACCATTTTGTATAGCTAAAAAACAAATAATTTAGTATATTTAAGCGTTGTTATGTGCCTAATAGTTACGGAGAAAATTAAAAAAATGAATATCTAAAATTACCACGCTATTCTTATGGAGAATAAGTTACCTAACGGTTGTAGTTTGCTTGTTGATGAACATATTTTGATCAAATTTGGAAAATGCATTTATTTCATACTAAAGTACTATTAACATTTTTACAAAATATCAATGTTTATGAAAAAACACTTTTTTAACCTCCCTGTTGCAGCAAACCTAAGTACTCCTTAACTAATAATATTTAAATAGGGGGAAAATGTGATATTTGAAGGAGATATTTTAATATAAATCCAATCGGGTAAATGGTAATTCGTTTAGTCTGCAGGTTTTCTGCGGCGGGGGTATTTTTGTTATTTTATACGTAAAAATAAATATTGACTACCTGTCAACCTGTCTGTATGTATTATTTTCTTTCACAATCGGAATAGATACACGTTATCTGAAATCGTATTTTACGGAATGAATAAAAACGCAGAATATTTGTTAAAATTAACACTTGCCAAGTTAACAAATCGCTAACAAACCGTTTACACACGCTGTAGTAATAGTACTAGCAGCTGGTGGTGTTGGCAACACTGCGTAATTTAGCGCCGCAACGTTGGCTAACCTGGCAGCCTGTACACTGACACTCACTTGCCATTGCTTTGTGTGTACTTGTGGTGATCGGTGGCTGGTGATAGTGTATTATTGGTTGGGTATCTTGTGCGAAATTATTACTGATTAATATGTTTTATCTGTACGGTATAGTCAGTTCGGGAGTGCGTTGGAGATTCTCAAAGGAATAGAGAATCGTATCAGCGCTGGGCGTGGGTCGGTGTGTGCGGCCGGCTCTACTCGCGGCCATTTTCTCACAGCAGCCGAGTCGATGCCGTGGCTTTTCCCTTTCCGCCATTTGAAACAAAGTGATGTGTTCGGTGCAATCGTGTATTTGAGTGTGTGAGTGTTGAGGTGATTGTGGAAGTTCCTGGTGCGATGAGGTAAGATGGAAAACGAGGTGAAACAACGGACTCAGAGGAATAGAAGGCGCGAGAGAGCTCAGCGCATGCAGGCTCAAAAACGCGAAAACAAAGTCAAAAATGGTGGTGCAGCCGATAGTGGTGAGGATGAATCCCCAACCAGGGAAAAACCTCAAAGACCTCCTCCGCCCAGCCGGAGAAAAAAGTCTAAAGAACCGGCGTTTGAGGAGGACGTTATCGATGGATTTGCCATTTTATCTTTCAAGACTTATGAGGATTTGGAGGTAGGAAATTTGATTTGTTTTTTGTTTGTTTTGAATAGGCTATGCATGTTAGCAGTTGATTTTAAATAGACCCCACATTAACTTAACTTAGCCTAGTTGTTATTGAGTAAATTAATTTATTCCTAATAAAAATAATCAGTCAAAGTTGCTTATCTAACTTAAGATACAAGGTATTCCTACTTTTTAAGATGAGTAACTTAGGCCAAGCATAAGTTAACTTACCTAACTTGTTAATTTACGTCGAGTAACTTAAGTTACCTAAGTTAGTTTACTGATTCGTGATTAGACATACACTTGCAAGATATGCATCATCATGTGAACATGTCCTAATTTCTATGGTTAAAACTTAACAAAAACATGGCACAATAACTTAAAGTTCTTTACATAAATTGTCTTTAAGTATTTAATGCGTTTAAGTTAACTTAAACCAAACCTTGGAATAACTTAAGTTACTTTGGTTAGCAAGAAAGACAAAATGGTGATCAGATGAAAACACGCTAACTTGGACATACTTTGATGAAACGACTTTCATTTCCCATTATGATATAAAGGTAAGTAATCTCGACCTTTCAAAGGGCAAAGCAAACCCTCTTAAAAGAATTCCCTCTCTAGCTGTACTCCTTATCCAATCAATAGCAGGCAAGCGGGGAATGGAATCTGAGATGCTTCTGAGACACTCATGCATTCCACGAGGGATTTTCTCCTTGACTTATGGGGATTCTAAAAAAATAACTTTAAATATGTTTTGTCTGGCTTTGAAAAAAAAAATTCCTAAAAAGAGTACGGTAACTTAAGTTGGTTTTTATTAATTACCGTATGCCTAAATGTAACTTAATGCGGATGTAAGATTATTGTCCAAAAGAATATAAATTAAGTCGACTTAACTTAACTTTTAACTTATACCGGTAAGTTAGCTCGAAAATTAAACTGCACAAGTTAACTTAAGTTAAAATAACAACGTTACTAGGAACTTAAACTTTGTAAGTAAGTACCGGTGCCTAACAAGTTTAATTATTAAATGCAATAGGCCTTAGTTATCTAGTAAGCTTTTTAAACTCTAATAAGTTAGATGAGTGATAATATTGACAAATAAGTTAACTTATTACCTAACTTATTTTATAATGGACCTTGTTATGTTAAGTTTGTGCATTAAAATACCACCAGGAAACGAATACCCTGCAGTTTTTTTAGTTTATTGCTTTGTGAGCAATGTAAGTTAACTAATTCTTGGGAACGCGATTGACTTCCTTTTATTTTATCGTGAGATTTTAATATTTCGAATTATCCTTTAGCACACTTTAAAACTTACTTGAACGTTTTGTAACTTCCACCACGTGCCTTAAGTTTAAGTTAGCAGGATAAACGATTGTTATTTCATCCTAACGATTTCTTTACCTTAACCTACAACGATTCATTTGAACTGTAATAACTTACAGGTGAATGCACTTTGCATAACTGAGGAGTGAAGTAGTTGTGCATTATCGCATATTATTTATGATACAACGCGTTGACAAGACGATTGGTAGTAGTTTGTAATTGGTGTTAGTGGTAGCCCTGAAATGTTGAGCGTATCACGTTGGCTACACTGCTTGGCAAGTTGCCAGCTGGTACCCGCTATTTGTCAAATCTGTGAACATTAAATTTGCCGGTTAGGAAAACCTCTTTGTCTTTTCAGAAATATGTCTTTATGCAGCTATCAGATTTGGCCAACTTAACTTATGTTTTGTCTCTACCGGCCCACCTGTAATTTACTTATTAGACCTTAGGCCTATTGATTATTGTTGGAGCTACTGTATAGGCTTAAATTAGCTACCGGTACTGTATTTATTTGATCTTTTTAAACGCAAATTGGCTGTTAGTTTGTATTGTGGAGTTATTGCTTAAATTTACCTAGACGAGCTGGAAAACATTAATACACAACCAAACTTAAGTTATATGTACATCTTAATTATCCACAGTTCTGCATAGGCATACGGTATTTCCTAATCTGACGGTAACTTATAGGATCAAAAAAGTTAATCTGTGTGTAAGTATACCTGCGCTAATTATGGTGGTAGGAAAATGTTTTGTATTAGGAGCACAATAAGTTAGTCGTTGCCCCACTCGGTTGTTATACACGATAAAAACAAACACTATTGGGGGTTGGTGGCAACTCAACACATGTCATAGCTTTCCCAAGTCTTCCAAGTAACAAACTATAGGCTACATAATTGTGTCAGAGTGGTGATAAAGTTAAACAAGTGTTAATGTTAAACATACACACTACTCTACACGGTGGGCGATCTATTTGAATATGCTGGCACTAGCTCTGTAGAAGGCTGCCAAATTCCTTTGTTATCAGTGCACCGCTTTCATGAATAAGGTTTTTGTTCCAGTTAACGCTAACTGTACTACAGGGTTATTATTTAAATCTTAATCCGATCTATCCTCTAGAGTAGGCTTGAATCACACTAACCTAGATTATATAGGCTTAGTTTGGATATTGTGTTTCATGAATCCAATTATTTCATAAGTAGGCTACAATTATTAAATTAGTCTACTTTTGATAGCTTTATGTTTATTCACAGGTGCAAAGGAAATTTGCAATAAATACATCTTAAATCCATTTCGGTGTGTTTTAGGCAATTGTTAGATCACAAGCTAAAGGAGTTTAGATTGATAGGAAATAGGTTTACAGTAGGTTACTGCGTTTAGTCATAAATAAATGAATGGGCTTGCACGTTTTTAATTAAAATAACGTAATAAATCAGTCAGTTTGTAACCATTTAGAATGTGCGCTGATATTTTATATTTCATGATAATTATTTTGATTTTTAATAAGCCATCAAACATTTTAATGTGTTTGTATTACAAGGCTAGATAGCACGTGGATAGATTATGATTTGGCATTCATTACATATGGTGAGCTACGGCTGTATTGAACCAGGAGTTTCATTTAGAAATTTGGGCAATATGAATGAATAATTCTCGTTGGAACGGTACCAACGGAAAGAACAAAAATAAACAAACCAGGCAACATCTTCACATGACATTTTGGCCTTCTAACGCCAAAAATAATAATTCACAAATATCGTTCCCCATGAAAAAGAATTCTCTTCGTAACTATTTGGCGCGTGGCGGGATTCAGGGTTTAAGTTAAAAGATGAAAATCCATTTGCATTAATTCTACACACAACTATTGTAGACACTACTAGCTACTAGCTAGCTTCTACCTTGCTAGCTAGCTTGGTGCGATTGGACCAGAAGTTACATACTGGATCTTGTATTATTTATAAAAATGAAGTTCAGAACCAGACGATGTCAGAAAATATTCTATGATACAGAAATTAAAATTTGAAAGTTAAGGAATGTCTGAGTATTATTTACGATGCTGTTGACAGTAACCTTGATGTTGAAGTTGACGAGTGAGTTTATTTTTTAAATGATTTTGGGTTGGAGAATCATGCCTGCATTGGCACTTTTAATCTCGGGTATATAATAATTAATTTTAATTACTGAACTGTTATAAATACACTTTTAAATTGCGTCTGATCTATTGTTTATAAATAAAATATGGTCCCATTCAACCAAGTGATATCGCAACTAGGCCTAATCATAATTTATTTGAATTTGGAGTATGAATACTGATACTTGTTCAGTATAACGGCAAAGAATAAAACACGTGAGTAATAGTTTATACACATATATCTACACAGATTACACGCCCTACCCACGTCCAGCGGCCAATATTGTATTCAGCCAGTGCATGGAAGTAGTGACGAGGTCATTTGCCCCGGGACCAGACTACACGTGGTCTATATGTTGCTGAACAGACTGACGGTGCTGCCTCTACAACTTGTACGTGTGTCCATCAAGTTGTCGTCTTTGTGGTCTTGTACAACTCTGTACTATGTGTTCGGTTATCGTCATGATTTTCTTAACCTGACTATATATATATATATATATATATATATATATATATATATATATATATATACATATATATATATATATATATATATCTAAAGATAAGTTTATCATTTTATGCGTTTGTAGTTCCAAGTACAGCATGTATTTTTCGTGAAGACATGGTAATAAACGCACAAATAAAAACAGCATGTATTTTTCGTGAAGACATGGTAATAAACGCACAAATAAAAATAACTTATTCGATAGGCCTATGCATGTTTCTAACTTATGTTTCTGTATGGTTAAAGGGGTGTAAAGTGAGAATGCAAATGGTGCGATTTGTTGATGGTTTAATCGGCTACGATTACTGTGTTTTCAATATAGGCTACTACATTTTTTAATTATATAGTTTGCCTTATCAAATCATAATTTCTGTGTACTGTCAAGAAAATCATTAAGGTTTTTTTTTTAAAAAAGGCACAATGAACTTTTCTACTGGATGAGAATTTTAACCTGATGTGTCCACAAGTAGTTTAAATAAAGCGTTAACAATCTATACTTTATCACGGAAATTACAGTTAAGTAACCGAGTGCGAGTTTGAGGTTGACCCATATTTCAAGTTCCCATACCCAGTGCAGCATTGCCAACTGTTAACAACAAACGGATACAGTGTGGCCACTGCACGCTGTTTATTCTCTTGATTGCAATATGGATCGATGAACTCTTCTCTCTCCCCCTCTCCCCCCCCCTCTCACTCAATTTATCGCTCGCCTCCCCCACATTGCCCTCGGCAGCACACGTATTTCCTTATCAACTTGATCACATTTGTCGCTGTTTATCCAAAGATTTGTTCCGCTTAAACATTTCTTTTATGTTTGCGTAAACAGTTTACCTTTTACCTTGGACGCATAATTTATTCACCCCTTCTGTGTGAACTGAAATCGACTTGCATGTAATGCCGGCCAATATAATTGTTATTACTTGCAACTACTTCCTGGCTAATCGTGTACGATTTGACAACAAATTGCACTATTCTAGGCCTACTAAGTTGAGTTACTAGTTCTAAAAAAAAAAAAGCTAAAAGGGACGTGGGCTAAGTTATAGAAATAAA